CCGGACGCTCTTCCGAACGCTTCACCCGAGCTGGCGCACTTCCGCTCACAGCCGTGCGACCAGGAGTCTTGGGCTCATTCCCACCTCACGTCCAAGGAAGCGGGAGGAGGGAGGTTGCGTGACCTGCTCAAGGTCACCGCCAGGCACCTGGCCGGGCGCCCCGCTCCGGTGCAGGGTGTGGCCTGTCAGGGTCAAGGACTTCTGCGAATACAGAGGCCCCATCACGGATGGGACTGGTCTGCGGTCTCCAAGTGGACACGCCGTTAGCGTCCCCGCCCACATAACGGCCCCCGTGTCCTTCCCACCGCGCAGGCCAGTGAGTGTCCACCCGGTAGCTTCGTTCTGTCGATTGACTAGACCTTGTGATCGAAAGCATTCATCTCCAGCTAGAAACTGAACCTGAGGCCCCAGATGGTGTGGGTCAGTGGGTAGAGCATCGGCCTGTGGACCGAAGGGTCCTGGGTTCGATCCCGGCCAAGGGCACATGCCTGGGTTGCGGGCTCGGTACCCAGTGGGGGTGTGCAGGAGGCAGCTGATTCTCTCTCACCATTGATGTTTCTCTCTCTCTCTCCCTCTCCCTTCCTCTCTGAAATCAATAAAAATACATTTTTAAAAAAGAAAAGGAACAGAACCGGATGAGCTATTATTGTTTGGGCTGAACCCTCCACTCTGGACAGCTCTCTCAGCCTCAGTGACGTTCTTAGGATGTCTTGGATGTGAATGGGAACCCTGGTCCCTCCTCTGCTCGTGGATTGATGGACTGATGTTCCGTGGGAACGTGCATGTCCGTGTCCACGGACTGATGCTCCGTGGGAACGTGCATGTCCGTGTCCACGGACTGATGCTCCGTGGGAACGTGCATGTCCGTGTCCACGGACTGATGCTCCGTGGGAACGTGCATGTCCGTGTCCACGGACTGATGCGCCGTGGGAACGTGCATTTCCGTGTCCACGGGCTGATGCGCCGTGGGAACGTGCATGTCCGTGTCCACGGGCTGATGCGCCGTGGGAACGTGCATTTCCGTGTCCACGGGCTGATGCGCCGTGGGAACGTGCATTTCCGTGTCCACGGGCTGATGCGCCGTGGGAACGTGCATGTCCGTGTCCACGGGCTGATGTTCCGTGGGAACGTGCATTTCCGTGTCCATGGGCTGATGTTCCGTGGGAACGTGCATTTCCATGTCCATGGGCTGATGTTCCGTGGGAATGTGCATTTCCATGTCCACGGATTGATGTCCATGGGAACGTGCATTTCCACATCCACAGCCCAGAGAGAGAGGTCAGCGTGATCGGAGCGGCTCCGTGTGTTAGTAAAGGTTAATGAGGAACCGTCCATTTTCCCCGCTAAAACATTCAAGTGAAGTGATGTGATTAGCCATCGCGTCCTCTCTGCTCCCAGAGGGCAGGTGGGAATGTTCCACCTACAAGAGGCGATTTGTGTAACTCCATCCAGATTGCTTCTGAAGTCACACATGTCTCTCTTCTGCTGTGTCAGCTCGTGGCTGCCATGCTTTCCTCTGTGTTTCCTGGGGTGACTCTGGACGCCATTATGGACCTGACATGAGGGGGCATTCAGTTACGGAGCCTGCGGTGGGATTCCTGGCTCTCGATTACGATTTTGTTATAAATGGCTCGCTAATGACGCTGGGGTGCAGAGGTTAATGGGGGGCCTCCCGGCCAGGGAATTGAACGCCGGCTATTTTGGGAGCAGCGATGCGATCTCTCACGGTGGTGGCGGGTTCCCACGGTGGCAGCCTGCGGCCACAGGCCCCGCATGGAGCCCGCTGGGAGCAATCTCCTGAAATCTCGCTGAAACGTACACCGGGTGCTGAGGGTGAACACCTGAGCGGGCGCGCCCGGTCCCGTCTGACCTGAGTCCGCTGGCACCGAACGTGGTGAGGGCGGGGCCTGCGTGGCTCCATTTGAAAGGCAGGACAGCCGAGTGTCGGGTGTCGGAGGGCCTGTTTCGGGGTCACCTGTGGCGCGTGGGAAAGGCCAGGCCAGGGACGGAGTAGCCATCCATCCTCCTCGGTGCAGGCCGTCCGTCCGATGTTTGTCCACGGAGGTGCGTCGGTTAAGAGCTGCACACATTGTAGGATCCTTTGGAAGATCCTGAGCCACGCCAGCCAGGCCCAAATACTCATGTTTTTTTATGACATCACCCCCCCCCATCTTGTACGGGCTCCAGGCCTGACCTGGGTGCCCCCCTCGCGGAGCCCACACGCCCGCCGTGCCGTGGCCACCGTCAGCGGCTCCCCTCCCTGGGCGTGTTTACTTACTTCGCTGGGATTGAGAAACCTTTGTTCTGGTTTGGGAATGTTCTGCCCCTTCTGCTGGGTCGAGAATGTACATTCTTGTCTTGGAGCATCAGAGACCGTGTTTTCTTTAAAAATAAATTGATGAGGCCCTCCACGCCCGGGACGGGGTGGGAACACGCCCCCCACGGGGACCCTGGCGGGAGCCTTATCTCCGACGCTAAAGCAGTGTGTTCTTGGCTGAGGGACGGGCTGCCAGGCCGGGGCCTGCCCTTTTGTGTCTTTGGTTTGGAAGGATTGTTTGTCCCGAGAGAGGGGTCAGGGTGGTGGACGAGTTGGAGGCGGAGGTTGGAGCCTCGCGGCGCGGACGCTCCTCAGACGCCTCGGGGTGCGGGCGGCGGGGCCTGGGATGTCCCCGTTCCGGGGCAGCTTGCTCCCACGGCCCCCTCCCCGCCCCCTCCGCTCTTCTCAGAACTGCCTGACCCCTGACTCAGCCCTCGCGGGCCAGGGTTTCTCAAGCTGGCTCCTTGAACCTCGGGGAGAAGTTCACGGCCGGGTATGTTTTGGAAATTCTGTGTATCTTCCTCTCCTGTGGGCTCACAGGGCTCATGAGCAGATGGAAGGCCCCGAAAAGTCCTGCTGTAAAGCTGTCTGTCTGTCTGTCTGCCCGGCTGGTGTGCCTCAGTGGCTAGAGCATCGGCCTGCGGACTGAAGGGTCCCGGGTTCGATTCCGGTCAAGGGCACAGGCCCGGGTTGTGGGCTCGATCCCCAGTAGGGGGCGTGCAGGAGGCAGCCGATCAGTGATTCTCTCTCACTGTTGATGTTTCTCTCTCTCTCCTTCTCCCTTCCTCTCTGAAATTAGTAAAAATATATTTAAAATACTTTTTAAAAAGTCTGTACTCTGTCCGTTCCACCTCTTCCCAGTGGTTTAAGCACACGGCAGGGAATGCTGGGGAAGCCCTTTCAGGAGACGCTGCCTGACTATTGCCTGGTCCACGTGCGTCGTTAAAGCACCGGCTTCGCCGCGGTCCCAGGGCGGGCCGCCCCCGCTAGTGACTTCCGACCGCCGAGCCCGCCAGCCAGCAGGACGAGGCCCTGACGCAGACTGGTCCCACCTTCCCTGGAGACGGCAGGATCTAGAGGGTGTGCGACAGTGGGGGGGCGTCCACCACGCTCGGGCAAGGGCACAGGGGGAAGTCGGTGCGGTGGGATCTCCCACTTCCAACGCCATTTCAGATGTCCTTGGCCTTCACGCCAATTAAAAACCGCCTGTCGTCATAGTCACTGCTGATGCGAGTATCATGAACGGCACCTCCCTTTCAGGGGATGGGAAAGGCGTGTAGACATTATGCAAACTCCTTTCATGCACCAGCTAACTTAGTGCTTTGGCCGACGGGTCGGGAGGGTCTCCGGTCCTCGTGTGACTGGTGAGGAGACCAGAGCTCAGAGAGGTTACCTGGCTTCCTCAGTTTCACACAGCTCGTGCGTGGCGGTCTACCACCCCTGGAACTGAGGAGGTTTGGCTTTTTTAAAAAAAAATATTTAATTTGATTGATTTTAGAGAGAGAGCAAGGGAGAGGGATGGAGAGAGAGAGAAACATGGATGAGGGAGGAACATCGATCGGCTGCCTCCTGCACGCCCCCTACTTACTGGGGATCGAGGCCACACCCGGGCATTGGACTGGTCACCTCTCGGTCCATGGGCCGACACTCAACCACTGAGCCACCTGGCCGGGCTGCCTTTTTTTTTTTCTACATCTACCACAATGGATCACCCGGGCAACAATACATTTTATCACCACAAGATTCTCTGCATAGACTTTAAAGACTCGTGTTGTTCCCAGGACGATGCCCGGGACAGCGAGTGCAGGGTCTGAAGGGCGATGCCTCACGGGGATGCTGCGCGCTGCGTCTCGTTGCTGAGGGACCGCGAGCCGAGTGGTGTTTGTGTGATCCCCCCTGTGAGGAGCGTCCTCGTCGGCCTGAATGCTCGTGAGCTCCTGCTTCCTGCACGGGCAGTAAAGCCGGGGTCCCGGGAGGAGGCGTCGGGCCTCGGGAGAGGAAAGCATTTGGCCTCCGCCTGCTCCTGGCCGCGCCGCCCGCCTTCCTGGGCATTCCGTCGGCTTAAAGCGCTGATATTTCAGTTCGTCTCTCACGTTCCCCGTCACCGGCTGAGCCTGAATCTGGGAAAGATTCCAAACCCGGGGCTGAGGGCTCCTGTAACTTAGCCAGGTCGGGGGGTGTCGGAGGGGGCTTGAGAGGTGGGCAGAATACGGTGTCTGACGTGGGGCTGGTGCTGCTGGCGTTGGGGCCACGTTTGCTGGCTGAGACTGAACCCCAAAGCCAGGCCCCAAGGCCCCAGGACCTCCCTGTACCCTGTATGCTTTCCTGTGACTTGTTTGTGACCCAGTGGGCTGGGGCCAGAGCCTAGCTGTCTCTCCTTGGAAGATGCCCCCGGGTTACTGTGTCACCGCACGAAGGAACGAAACCTCTTTTCTTGCCCGGCCCGCGTGGCTCAGCGGTTGAGGGTCGACCCAGGAACCAGGAGGTCACAGCTCGATTCCCGGTCGGGGCACAGGCCCGGGTTGCGGGCGCGTTCCCCAGTGCGGGGCGTGCGGGAGGCAGCCCATCCGAGATTCTCATCATCGATGTTTCTGTCTCTCCCTCCCGCTCCCTTCCTCTCTGAAATCAATAAAAATACTTTTGAAAAGAACAAGCAAGAAGAGCTCTTTCCTTTGCCGTTTAGGTGAGCTGACGCTCTAAGGACTGGCCTGCCCCCAGGAGGAGACATTCCGCAGGAGCACGGGATGCAGAAGGGGACCCCGCGGATGGCATGCCGGCCCGGCCCCCCGAGAAGACCATGACCCCTGCCGATCTCCTGGGCGTTCCCGCGTTCCCCAGCGAAGCCTCCCCCACTTCCTCCCGTGCCCGGGGGGGACCTGAGGGACGGCGGGGCTGCCCGCGAGCGTGAGGCCGCGGCTCGGGCGGAGCATGACCCTGGGAGGCCACGTCCTCTCGTCTTCCCGTGGCACCAGAGGTCGCCCTCCCCCGTGCCCCGGGGCTGCGGCGGCGCCTCCTTTTCACACCCGTGGCCCGTGCCGTCCGACCGCCTCCTGTGCCCATAAGTCGCCCTTCCAGCCGCCCGCACGCCGCACGCCCCCGGCTCCTCGCTCATGGCTGGGGCCGGCCGGCCGCGGGCGCTACCATGAGGCACAGCATTGACGGGGGCATCCAGGTGTCGCCGGACGACACGCACCAGCCGCTGCTTGGCGGCCGAGCAGGCCCCCCCCACATCCCCCAGGAGGGCCCCGCGCGCCCAGGCGACACCGGGGCCGCGTCCCGCGTGGACGGGAAGCTGATGAACCTGCTGGCCGTGCTGGAGGGGCGGCCGGACGGGAGCGAGAGTTGGGGCGGGTGCTGGCGCTTGGGGAAGGGGCGGCGATGCAGCCTGGCGTTCGGGCTGGTCATCATGACCTTGGTGATGGCCTCGTACATCCTCTCAGGGGCCCGCCAGGAGCTCCTGCTCGCCTCGCCCTTCCGCTACCGCGCCTTCCCCGGCAGCCCCGGCCCGCCCGACGGCGAGAGCCCGAGTGACGCCCAGGAGCTGCACCCCCAGCCGCCCGCGGGCAACCTGTCCTCCGCGAAGGACGCCCCGGGCCTGAGGTCAGTCATCGACAGCATCACGGCCAGGATCGCGTTCACGGCCAGGCAGCTCCCGGGCACAGACGACCTCAGGAGGCAGGAGCCCCACGTGAGTAGCCCCCCCTCTAGACCCTGTCGGTGGGCGGGTTTTGGAAAATGGATGCTTCTCTGTCAACATCGCTGGGAAGAATCTCTCCGGGTGACGGGGAGAATCGGACGCCTGTGGCCCAGGGTGCGCGGAGAGTTGTCTGTTACGTTACCCGAGAAGGGACTTTCCGATATAAATGGTGCAGCTGGACAGCTGAAGGAGGATGGACAGGTGGTCACGGCGATTTCAGCTGCTTTTTATTTTATTTATATGCTAGAGGCCTGGTGCACGAAATCCATGCACTCGGGGGAGGGTCCCTCAGCCTGGCCTACACCCTGGCAGTCCAGGAGCCCTTGGGGGCTGTCCAACTGTCCAGCTTAGTTGGACAGTCAGACATCCTTAGCGCTGCTGCGGCGGCGGGAGAGGTTCCCGCCACCACCGCTACGCTCGCCAGCCGTGAGCCCGGCTTCTGCCCGAGCGGCGCTCCCCCTGTGGGAGCTCACTGACCACCAGGGGGCAGCTCCCGCATTGAGCATCTGCCCCCTGGTGGTCAGTGTGCGTCACAGCGACTGGTCGTTCCGCAGTTCGGTAGATTTGCATATTAGCCTCTTATTACATAGGATAGGATGTATTTTTATAAAAAGATATTTTTTCTTGATGTCAGAGAGGAAGGGAAAGGGAGAGAGAGATAGAAACATCAACGATGAGAGAGAATCATGGATCGACTGCCTCCTGCAGCCCCACCCTGGGGATCAAGCCCACAACCTAGGCATGTGCCCTGACCGGGAATCAAACCGTGACCTCCTGGTTCGTAGGTTGATGCTCTACCCCCCCGGCCGGGCTACAGCTGCCTTTTAGGTCTCCCTCAGCCTGTTTCCATTCTGTCCTAATTAGTACTTTTGTCTCCATTCAATGTACAACCAGTGAGAAGCCCCCACTGTTTACCTAGCCTGTTGTGTGTGTGTGCGCGTGTGTGCCTGTGCGCGTGTGCGCGTGTGCATGTGTGTGAAAGATAAATCATGCTAGGGTGGCTCTTGATCAAACTTTCATCTTCGTTTTCTCCAAAGGTTTTTTTACTTTTTACCTTTGGGCTAAGAAAAGGCAGGGTCCTCGGCTCCTCACCGGTTTTGCTCGATGCTGGTGTGGAGTCCGTGTCGGAGCGTGCCTCCCACCGAACGCGCGTCCGTCTGTCCGCCCCCCTCCCTCTCTCGCCGCAGATGTTCGCCGTCATCCCCAGGAAATTCCTCCCGAGCAGCAGGAGCCCGTGCTGGTACGAGGAGTTCACGGGGCGCAACACCTCGGACCCCTACCTGACCAACTCGTACGCGCTCTACTCCAAGCGCTTCCGCGCCACCTTCGACGCGCTGCGCAAGGCCTTCTGGGGGCACCTGGCCCACGCGGCCGGCCGCCACTACCGCCTGCGCTGCCTGCCGCGCTTCTACATCGTCGGGCAGCCCAAGTGCGGCACCACCGACCTGTACGACCGCCTGCGGCTGCACCCCGAGGTCAAGTTCTCCGCCATCAAGGAGCCGCACTGGTGGACGCGCAAGCGGTTCGGTGCGTGAGCGCGGCGCCCCGGCCGGGGAGGGGCCCAGGGGTGGCCCGGGCCCCTGCCTCCATCACTCACCACACTTTTTCTTCTCTTTTTATTTTTTATTTTTTTAAAATATATTTTATTGATTTTTTACAGAGAGGAAGGGAGAGGGATGGAGAGTTAGAAACATCGATGAGAGAGAAACATCGATCAGCTGCCTTCTGCACGCCCCCTATTGGGGATGTGCCCGCAACCCAGGTACATGCCCTTGACCGGAATCGAACCTGGGACCCTTGAGTCCGCAGGCTGATGCTCTATCCACTGAGCCAAACCGGTTAAGGCTCTTCTCTTTTTTAAAATATATTTTTATTTTTATTGATTTCAGGGAGAAAGGGAGAGGGAGAGAGATAGAGAAACTTGAATGATGAAAGAGCATCATTGATCAGCTACCTCCTGCACGCTCCACACCAGGGACCGAGCCCACAGCCTGGGCATGTGCCCTGACTAGGAATTGAACTGTGACCTCCCAGTTCATAGGTCGATGCTCGACCACTGAGCCACGCGGCCGGGCTCACCACGCCTTCTGCTCACTGAGGTCCCTGGGGTCGGCTGGGAGCGAGGCAGCCTGCTCTGGGCCGGGCACTGGACTGGGCTCCTGGGCGCAGACACAGAGTCATCCTTCCCTTGTCTGAGGTCCCAGGCAAATGTCCACAGGCAGGAGCCGGCCCCGAGCCGTCCAGGGAGCTACTGAGCGCCCGTGGTGTGCAGGGCCCCGGGACGGAGCAGAATGGGCAGCTCGCCGTCCCGAGGAGCCTGAGGGCAGGCACCGGTGGACATTTGTCGGGGACTGTCCTGGCCCACTCTGACCTGTCCTCTCCCCTTCTGACCTGTCCCCTCCCCCTCTGACCTGTCCCCTCCCCCTCTGACCTGTCCCCTCCCCCTCTGACCTGTCCCCTCCCCCTCTGATGCTGGGGTCCAACCCCAGCAGATCCAGGGGTCCCCAAAGGTGTGGACGGAGTCGGCGAAGAAGGAATGACATGGAGGCAGCATTCAGTTCATCAGCGGCCTAGCCAGGATCTCTAGCCAAGTTCTGGTCTGGATCTCCAGCGAAGTTCTGGTTAGGATCTCCAGCCAGGTTCTGTGTCCATGTTCTCTTGCTAGGTTCTCCAGGTTCTCCAGCCAGGTTCTGTAGCCATGTTCCCTTGCTAGGTTCTCCAGGCAGGTTCAGTAGCCATGTTCCCTCGCTAGGTTCTCCAGCCAGGTTCTGTCCAGTTCTCCAGCCAGGTTCAGTCACCAGGTTCTAGTCAGGTTCTCTTGCCAATTCTGTAGTCAGGTTCAGTCCAGGATCTTTTGCCATGTTCTCTCGCTAGGTTCTGTCTCTAGGTTCTGAGGCCAGTTTCTGTCCAGGATCTTTTGCCATGTTCTCTCCAGCGAAGTTCTTCTGTCTCTAGAGAACGTTCTGTGTAGGTTCTGTGCCTCCTGGTTCTGTCTTCTTCTGTCTTGTTACATCTGTATTTATACCAGTTGATTCAATCCTGTCAATCTCTATTCCAAAGGTTAGGGCATTTCTTATCTCCATTCCAGGGAGTAAAGATTATGTAGCTTAAGCATGATTGTTCGTAGTTAAAGTGATTAATTACCCGCCTAGCACTTAGTTAAGAGGTTTTATTCCCTCCCTAACTTCAGGGGAAAATCCCTACCTGGGGAAAACCTTTCTCAGAGAGGTGACCTTGGTTAAAACACATAGTGCCAAGAAGGTGAGCAAACATATTAAGAACAGTATGCCATATATGCCAGGTCCCTTGAAACAGCAAGCATGGACCGGCTCCCGGCAAATTCCCCCTTTTTTATTTTTTAAAAGCAGGCATTAAAAAGAAAAACCCCAAATTCTCTCTTGTATCCATTTTAAGAGTAGGATTGGCACTTTCCGCTATTACCTGAGTCCTGATCTATCACCCCAGGGAGAGCTTGCCAATCCTGCACTTTCCCGGGGTGGAAAGGCTGTAGTGGGGTTAAGGATAAGGCTCCTTGGTCCTACCTTCTCCCATGCCTCTACATTTACCTTTCCGGCACCTTTCCTTCCTCAGAAAAGCATGGACGTATTTCTTGTATAAAATGTTCCATCTGACTGGGAGTAACCTTAACTCCTCTGCTAGCAAGCATATGTGTTAAAAGATCAATACAGAGTCTTATTTCTTTAGACTCAGTATGGCATATTTTCTTAATCTAAAGATCAATACAGAGTCTTCTTTCTTTGGACTCAGTATGGCACATCTTCTCAATCTAAGAATCAATACAGAGTCTTCTTTCATTGGACTGAGTATGGCACAACTTCACAATCTAAGTTCTGTACTATCCACCTTCTTACCTTACTTATCCTCTAAAGGGGGGGGGGGTCTGCAGCACCCTACGGTGCAGTCCTATCCGTCCCAAGTACGGGGGGGACTTACCTAAGGGTCCCTGTTCGGGCGCTCCCGGCACTCTGACCTGTCCCCTCTCCCTCTGACCTGTCCCCTCCCCCTCTGACCTGTCCCCTCCCGCTCTGACCTGTCCCCTCCCCCTCTGACCTGTCCCCTCTCCCTCTGACCTGTCCCCTCCCCCTCTGACCTGTCCTCTCCCCCTCTGACCTGTCCCCTCCCCCTCTGCCCTGTCCCCTCCCGCTCTGACCTGTCCTCTCTCCCTCTGCCCTGTCCCCTCCCCCTCTGCCCTGTCCCCTCCCCCTCTGCCCTGTCCCCTCCCCCTCTGACCTATCCCCTGCAGCCCCTCCAGGCCCCGGGCGCCCGCTCAGCTGCTCTGCGTCTTGTGTCCTCACCCGTCATCGGCATCTGGCTCGGGCTGGAACGAAGCCACATGGAGACGATTCTCGGTGCCTCTGTCTGGAGGGGGACCCAGCGCCCCTGCCCCTTGGGTTGGCGTGGCCTCGCCGTCCCTCCTGCTGTGGCTCCTGCCCGGCCGGGGCCACCCTGCGCTGGTCACTCTTTCCTCTCCTTGACCTTCTCCCTCTGCCAGGAGACATATGGTCACCGGAGCTCGGGAATGACAAATGCTGGAGTCTGGGCGGGCCAGGGCCAGGGCCAGGGCCGAGGGCGTTTTCCGATGCGGGGCCAGGCTGTGAGGAGGGACCTACGTTTTCCCGAGTGGAACCAAGTTGGGGCCAGCGCTTAATGTGTTTCCTGACGAACGTTTGGCCGAATCCTTTGATGTCCCTCCCGGAGGGGACAGAGCACAGATGTGTCGGGGGTGCGGCGGCGGCTGCGGCGGGAGCCAGGGTGTCCCGTTGGTGCTCATTTGGGGGTGCTCCCCCCACAGCTCCCCCTTTCCCTCGTGGAAGCTCCGTTCCCCTGGCGGGAACCGGTGGCACCGTCAGCCTCCTGTCTGTCCACGGGCGTGTCCACTCCCCTTGACCTCGGCGGCTGTGGACTGGGCCGGTGTGTGGTCACTGCCTGCAAGTGAAATGCAGCCACGTCAGGCTGGGCCCGTGGTGGCTGCACGTGGCTGATGCCAGAGTCACTGCCAAGCTCAACCCATGTGTCTGTCCAGCACCATCAGCTTCCTTACTGTTTGGACAGACGGACAGGCTGCTGGCTGACAGCAGAGGACAGAGCTGAGGTGCGGTGTGCGCGTCCCGCGACCCAGCCGTTGGCCCTGGCGCTCACCTCACCCAGCCAGACACTGGCCCTCCCAGCAGACACGGTGACGGTTCTTGAATGGCCTGGCCAGTGTGGCTCAGTGGCTGAGCATCGACCTATGAACCCAGAGGTCAGGGTTCGATTCCCGTTCAGGGCACAGGCCCAGGTTGCGGGCTCCATCCCCAGAGGTGGGCGTGCAGGAGGCAGCCGATCCGTGATTCTCTCTCATCATGGATGTTTCTCTCTCTCTCTCTCTCTCTCTCTCTCTCTCTCTCTCCTCCCTCCCTCCTCCCTTCCTCCCTTCCTCTCTGAAATCAAACTCGAGTGCCCACCCCGTCTGCCTGCCGCCCCCGCCAGCAGCCTCCTGGGCCGAGCCTGGCTCTGGACGCGGCCCGGGGCCTCCGTCCTTCCTGTCGCCCCGGGAGCCCTCAGCCCGCGAGCAGCGCTGTCCTGGGTAACTCCTACCTCTGGTCCTCGCAGGCATCGTGCGCCTGAGAGACGGGCTGCGGGACCGCTACCCCGTGGAGGACTACCTGGACCTCTTCGACCTGGCGGCGCACCAGATCCACCGGGGCCTGCAGGCCGGCGCCGCGGGCGACCCGGGCAGGAGGAGCCGCATCGTCATCGGTAAGCAGCTCGGCCCCTCAGCCGCTCAGCCCGGGGCCGTCCCACGCCTGTGCCCAGGGCATGACCCCGATGAGCATGTGTCCCCTCCCGCCGTCCCCTCGTCCTGGGTGACACGTTCTCGTCACCTGCACGGTTTCTATGAAGCAGACATGCTGGGGGCCTCCTGGTTCCATGGGGACTCAAGTGCAGCTGAAATGGCTGTTTTTAAGTTGCCGTTTCTTTGTTCCTATTCTAACGAAAGGCACAGGCCTGGCTTCTCTAAATGCCGAACCCGCCTGCGTTGGACGGGGTCACAGTGCCATGAAGTGATTAACGTGGCTTTGTAATCCCGGCTGGGACCCGGGGAGACGGGCAGCCTCTGGCACAGCCCCGGCCAGGACCCGGGGAGACGGGCAGCCTCTGGCACAGCCCCGGCCGGGACCCGGGGAGACGGGCAGCCTCTGGCACAGCCCCGGCCGGGACCCGGGGAGACGGGCAGCCTCTGGCACAGCCCCGGCCTGGACCCGGGGAGACCGAGGCAGCCCCTGGCACAGCCCCGGCCGGGACCCGGGGAGACGGGCAGCCTCTGGCACAGCCCCGGCCGGGACCCGGGGGGACCGAGGCAGCCTCTGGCACAGCCCCGGCTGGGCGTCCTTGCCAGCGAATCGCTGTTAGAAAGTGGCCCTTCTCACCCGGTGCCTGAGAGGCCAGAGCGAGGAGGTGCGATGCGTGTCATGGCTTTCGCGCACGAGCACGTGGTGCGCTATCAGAGCACATCTGCTCGCTGTGTGTTGGGTGCAGCTCAGGATATTTGTCCCCACGTATCTCCTGGAAGAGAGACATCGAATCACACACTTTGCTTAAGTTGGCAGGAAACCAGTTTTTAAAAATGTCCTGAGTCTTAGATTTTTGAATCTCCACATTCAGCGACTCTGTTAGCAGCGACCAGGAGGGATTGTAACCCGCCCTTTGATCGATGGTCTTTACTTAGGATTCTCTTGTCCAACTGCCTAAGTCCTGACTGTTTTGTTTTTAATTTTAGCTCCAATCCAAGCCCTGGGAGCCTGGATTGGCTACTCGCTATATTCTTACAGCCCTGGGGTCCAAACACCCCAAACCACAAGTCTCATTACTATTTGACTGTGATTCCCACCCCGTGTGCCTCTGGGAAGGTCTCATGTTCTTACGCAAAAGCCAAAAATATGCCTGCCAGGGCCAGGGAAGGGAGCCCGAGCTAATGAATGAGACAGGGAAGCCTTCGCTGGGTTTCCTGATGTTATTTACGTCTTCGTTTGGAAAAGCAGAATAAAGAGCAGATAGGCTGCTCTGTACTGACCCAGAGCAGAGCGTGTTGTTTTATGGTAGCGGAGAGGCGGGGGAGCTGGCGTCCAGCCCTGCTCATGCACCGTGTGCCGAGTCTGTCTTCGTGGTCCTGACCTCAGTCTGCACATCTGTAAAATGGGCTTGTTGGATCAGATCCATTCTGGGCTCCTCCCAGCCCTGAACGGTGACTCAGCTCTGCCCCGGTTAGAGCCTGGCTAGAGCTATAGGCTCTTTCTTTCTCTCAGCCCACAGTCAGAGGGCCTTTCCTCTGTGGTCTGGGCTGAAGGCTGGAGTCACCAAGGACTTGAGTGGCTGGGGTCATTGGAGCTGGGGCTCTAGACACATTGAAAGGTGCTGCCTCTGCCCTCGGCCCCTGCTCTGCCCTGTCAGAGAGCACCCGGGGGCTCTGAGTGCTGACCTGTTGGTCTTGCTCCAGATCCCGTCTGAGAGAGGAGGGGTTATCCGTCCTCTCTCCCTGATCTGTCCCCAACGCCAAGTGCAGTGCTGGGCATCTATTACACACCAGCTGGATGCTTTCTGGATGGGTGGGTGGGGATGGATGGGTGGGGATGGGTGAAGGATGGATGGATGGGTGGGGATGGGTGGAGATGGGTGAAGGATGGATGGATGATGGGTGGGGATGGATGGGTGGGGATGGGTGAAGGATGGATGGATGATGGGTGGGGATGGGTGGGTGGGGATGGGTGAAGGATGGATGGATGATGGGTGGGGATGGGTGAAGGATGGATGGATGATGGGTGGGGACGGATGGGTGGGGATGGGTGAAGGCTGGATGGATGATGGGTAGGGATGGGTGAAGGATGGATGGATGATGGGTGGGGATGGATGGGTGGGGATGGATGGGTGGGGATGGGTGAAGGATGTATGGATGGATGATGGGTGGGATGGATGGGTGGGGATGGGTGAAGGATGGATGGATGATGGGTGGGGTTAGATGGGTGGGGATGGGTGGGGATGGATGGATGATGGGTGGGGATGGGTGAAGGATGGGTGGATGGATGGGTGAAGGATGGATGGGTGGATGGATGATGGGTGGGGGGATGGACGGGTGGGTAGACAGTGCTTCTTGCTTGTAGAGCTCGTTTGTGACATCTGGCAGAATCTGTGCATTTTAGTCTAAGATACTCGCCTTGTCCTAATAGTCTCTTATTCACTGTGAGTGGAACTTTCAAAGGACTCTGACTGTCTTTCTGTATTCTGTGGCTTTCCTCTTAAAAAACAGAACAGCTCCCCGGGAAGGACTGAGGGGAGGCGGCTGGGTGGGGGTTGGGGGGTGGGCGTGCCGGACCCCAAGCCTGAGATAGAGGTCCCGGGAGCTGGACCTGAGCCCGAGATGGGGGTCCCGGGAGCCCCTCGGAGAGCCGGGAACTGGCTGTGGGGCTTCCTGGCGGAGTCGATGCCGACTGTACACGTTTCCTAGTGAGGATCAGCTCCCAGCATCCTCCATCCCCGATGCGTCCCTCCATCCCTGAGGGAAACACCTCGTCCGTGCTCCGCGGGCCCTTCGTGCCACAGAGCTGTGCAGGCGCAGCGTTAAACAGCGTGGAGCCGGGAGGCCGGCTGCCGGTGGAGGTTTGGGCACGTCCTGCAGGGACGAGCGTGGGAGGCACGCGCATGCCGCCTGGGTCACCGAGAGGTCCAGATTGAGGTCCTTTTTTAAAATACAGTTTTATTGATGTCAGAGAGGAAGGGAGCGGGAGAGAGAGAAACATCCATGATGAGAATCATTGATCAGCTGCTTCCTGCACGCCCCCCACTGGGGATGGAGCCAGCATCCTGGGCACGTGCCCCGACCAGGAATTGAACCCTGACCTCCTGGTTCATAGGTCAACGCTCAACCACGGAGCCACGCTGAGGTCCTTGGTGTGTGTGTGTGTCACTGCGGCAGGGGGTGGGTCTCAGCCTCCGCTCCCTGGAGACCAGCCTGCCAGCCTGGGGACCAGCTCGCCCCCCACGGCTGTGTGCGGGGAAGGCATCAGCCAGGCGTGGCCCTGGCGCAGGCTGCTCTGGGGCCCCGTCACTTGGCGCAGCTCACCGGCCGCGTCTCCGTTCCAGGGGAGGCCAGCGCCTCCACCATGTGGGACAACAACGCCTGGACCTTCTTCTACGACAACAGCACGGACGGCGAGCCGCCCTTCCTGACCCAGGACTTCATCCACGCCTTCCAGCCGGACGCCAGGCTCATCGTCATGCTCAGGGACCCTGTGGAGAGGTGAGCGCTTTGCTGTTATAATTTTTAATTGTACGGATCTCAGAGAGGAACGGAGAGGGAGGGAGAGAGAGAGGCATCCATGATGAGAGAGAACCACTGATCGGCCGCCTCCTGCACACCCCTCGCTGGGGATCAAGCCTGCAACCCAGGCCTGTGCCCTGACCGGGAATCGAACCCTGACCTGGCTCATAGGTCGACGCTTGACCAGTGAGCCACGCCAGCCAGACGAGAGGTGAGCCGTTCAGATTTTCTGTCCGGGCGGGGGTGGGGAGGAGACGAGGCGGATTGAAAGAATAGTCTTTCTTCTTGTCACAAACTAGATTGTGCCTCTTGGAAAAAAATAAACAAGCTGGCCTTGCAATGTTAGCGGTATTTCTTACGTAAATATTATTCGGGACGATCTTTTGCGTCTAAACGGTTGTGATGGTTTCTTGGCCGCTCAGGCCTGGTCTGCCGCCCGCAGCCTGTGGCGGGTTTGGCTGGACTGTGGCTGCTCTGCCGGCACCGCCAGGAAGTGAGAAATGGCCCTGGAATCGGGGGGTTAACGCCTGGGGTCCCCGTCTCCGGGCCTGACCGAGGCCTGTCTGGTGGCTCTGGGTGTGCGGCTCTGGCTTTTCCGTGAGACCAGCGGGAAGGAGGAGGCCGGGCGGAGTGGCTGTGGCATAAAGAGCAGGCGCTGCCTGGCGTGGACGAGGCACAGCGGCACCTCCTGCGCCGACGGGGACGGGGCGAGGCCGGGCCAGAGCCGCCTGGACAGCTCCGGGGCCATTCCTCCCACTTGAGACCCAGTCTGCATGGGAGGTCCTCACGCTGCGCCCGCTTCTCCCCATGGAGCCCCATGGGCATGCTCTCCCCCACGGAGCCCCACGGCCACCTTCTCCCCCACAGAGCCCCACGGCCACCTTCTTCCCCATGGAGCCCCACGGCCTCGTTCTCCCCACGGAGCCCTACGGCCTTGTTCTCCCCACGGAGCCCCACGGCCACCTTCTTCCCCACGGAGCCCCACGGCCACGCTCTTCCCCACGGAGCCCCACGGCCACCTTCTTCCCCACGGAACTCCATGGCCACATCCAACCTGTAACGGGTCACCCGCCAGGCACTGAGGATGGTGGCCAGGCCTCTGTCTTGCACCGATTAGCGCGTCACAGGTTGAACTGAGCGTCCAGGCCCGAGCCCGGATGTGGGCTGTGACCTTGCTGGATTGGGTCTTTGTGGAGTCCTGCGTGATGAGGTCACACTGGATTCGCGGGGCCCAGGTCTGTGATGGGCGGCTTGGGAAGAGGAGAGGACGCAGCGCACAGGAAGGAAGGCCGGGGCCATGGAGTCGGGCGAGGGAGATGCAGCCACCAGCCGGCCGCCCGCAGCCCCAGGAGCTGGGAGGCGAGGCCCTGACTGTCGTGGAGCCCGCAGGGCACCCACCCGCCCACACCTGCTTCCCGCCCGGATCTCAGCCGGGAGAGGACCCGCTCCCGAGGGGTGAGGCACCGAGTGTGGTCGTCCGTGCTGTGGCCTCGGGCACCAGCTCGGCCCGGTCCCTCCGAGGACGGCACACGCCCCACCCCACGGCCTCGCCCACAGCAAGACAGGTCGTCCCGGAGGCTTTGGGAAGCACCTTGGGAACTGTGTGAAATCACCCATCGCCCCCCCTCGCCCCCCCTCTGCCCCGCGCTGCTGCCTACACTGTGGTGTCCCCAGCCTGCCCGCCCAGCGTGAATGCCCGCCCAGGGTGAATGCCCGCCCAGCGTGAATGCCCGCCCAGCGTGAATGCCCGCCCAGTGTGAAAGCCCGCCCAGGGTGAATGCCGGCCCAGCGTGAATGCCCGCCCAGCGTGAAAGCCCGCCCAGCGTGAAAGCCCGCCCAGCGTGAATGCCGGCCCAGGGTGAATGCCCGCCCAGCGTGAATGCCGGCCCAGGGTGAATGCCCGCCCAGCGTGAATGCCCGCCCAGCGTGAAAGCCCGCCCAGCGTGAAAGCCCGCCCAGCGTGAATGCCGGCCCAGTGTGAATGCCCGCCCAGCGTGAAAGCCCGCCCAGCGTGAAAGCCCGCCCAGTGTGAAAGCCCGCCCAGCGTGAAAGCCCGCCCAGGGTGAATGCCCGCCCAGCGTGAATGCCCGCCCAGCGTGAATGCCGGCCCAGTGTGAATGCCCGCCCAGCGTGAAAGCCCGCCCAGCGTGAATGCCCGCCCAGCGTGAAAGCCCGCCCAGCGTGAAAGCCCGCCCAGGGTGAATGCTGGCCCAGGGTGAATGCCCGCCCAGCGTGAATGCCCGCCCAGCGTGAAAGCCCGCCCAGGGTGAATGCCCGCCCAGTGTGAATGCCCGCCCAGCGGGTGAGGGCAGCGTGTGAATGAGCCTCACACGGCGGCGTTTCGGATGCTTCACATCGATGCCCCTGGGGGGACACGCCACACAGTCCTGCCCCGGGCGCTCCTCTGCGTCTGCCCCTCATGGGGTGCTCAGAGGGGCCCGCTGCTGGGAGGCCTGGTCAGGGGGAGTGGACAATGCTCCTGTGTCCGCCCCACGGTCCCCCTGGCGGACCAGTTCTCTCTGTGTCTGTCCGTCTGTGCGGCCTCCAGCCTCAGGACCCCCCCACCGCGGCCTCGGAACAACCCGTCCCGCCTGCCGCACCCACACTCGGGTGGGCTGGTCCCGTGGCCGAAAGCAGTTGACACAGACCAGGGGCCCTCAGGGGCAGGAGAGCTGACGGTCAGCCCTGACGGAGGGCCTGGGACTAATGACCGCCCCCCCCGCCCATGGGGGTGTTGTCACAGCTGCGCTGCCTCCTCCAGCCGCCCCTCCCCCGCGGCAGGTCATGCGGTTGGCACACCTCCCAGGAGTGAGCTGCTCACTTCCTGCCGCAGCTCCTGGTTCCTCATTCGGAGGAAGGCAGGGGTCAGGGGTGAGACTGCGGCCTCTGTCGCTGCCTGGGCACAGAGGTTCCCGGGTGCCAGCCCGGGTCCAGGCCCTGGGAAGCCGGAGCCCACACTGGGGGGGTGGGGGGGGACACGCAGGCACGGCTGTGGTCACTGGGGCCTGTGGATCAGCCAGAGCAGAGAGGGGTGAGGCGTGGCCGTGAGAGACGAGGAGCTCCCAGTGGGGTCCTCAAAGGCAGCTCCGGAGGAGCTGAGGCCAGAGGGCTTTGAAGGATGAGTAGGAGTTTGCCAGGTGAGCAGGGAAGGAAGGTGAGCTAGGGGACGAAGCGTCCTGAGCAGGAGAGCGGACAGGACAGAGGTAGGGGCTGTTCTGTTTTGGGGAGCGGAGCCCACTTCCCCGAGCGCCCCCTCTTCCTGCGGTTCCTACTCTGCCTCGGAGGGCCCAGCGCCATGAAGGCGAGCCTTTGAGCGAGGAGGGCAGTGCTGCCCGGGGTCAGCCATCTGGGTCCCCAGCCCCAGCTCTGGCTTCCTTAGCAAGAGTCATGGTGCCCTGGCCGGTTGCTCAGTGGTTAGAGCTGCAGCCCCCACACTGAGGGTCGTGAGTTCGATTCCCAGTCAAGGGCATGGACCTGGGTAGCAGGTCCGATCCCCTCCCCCAGTCGGGGCGTGTGGGAGAGGCACCCAATTGGTGTGTCTCTGTCACATCGATGTTTCTCCCTCTTTCTCCCTCTCTCCCTCGCTCTCTCCCTCTCTCCCCTCCCACTCTCTCTCACTCTATTCCTCTCCCTCCCCCCTCTCTCTTCCTCTCTCCCTCTCCCCCCTCCCTCCCACTCTCTAAAAGTCAGTGGGAAAATACCCTCACTCCTGGGTGAGGATCAAGAGAAAAGGAGGGTCCCGCACAGGGAGGCTGTCCAGGCGGACGCCACGCTCTCACCTTCCTTCTTAAAGAGCAAGTGCTCTGTGTACGTGGGAACTGAGAGCGAAGGCTGCTGCCTCCTGGTCCTACACCCACTCGAAGTCCTTCACCAGTTAAAACGGCACCGAGCCCCGCCCCCACGCGGGGCCGTGCGTGGTGCTGCGCGCACACTCGGTGGTGAACGATGGAGCGTCTGGCGCCTGCCCTCCTGGAGCCGGCACGTGATCAGAGAAGGAGGCCTGGACCCCAATGTGCCACGGGTGTGCTGTGCCCAGGAGCGGGGAGGGTGCGTGGCTGCCTCCGGCGACGGGGAGCTCACGGGTGTGGGGCTGCCCGCTGCATCAGTCGCCTACAGCTGCGTAACAAACCACAGTGGCTGAGGGTCAGACCTGGCCCAGCCGCCCGGGCATCCACGTCCGCCTCTCCTCGCTGTCGGGGTGTCACCGGGGGGGTCTCATCGGCAGCTGGGTGGGGAGGACCCGCATCTGCCCGTGGTGGCGGAGAATGCAGGTCTCCAGGGCCAGGGGCAGAGGCGGCCTCCGCGTCCTGTCCCAGGGCCTCGCCCCCACCTCTGCACGTCGCCTGCCCCCTGGTCAGAGGCCTCCATCCCCGTGACCGGATCTCAGAGCGACAGCCATCGCCTTGGCCACGCTCTGTTGCTTAGACGCAAGTCACGAGGCCCAGGCCACACTCCAGGGGCGGGGAAGGCAGGGCGTGGAGACCAGGAAGCGGGCTCCGGGGGCCCATCCTCAGAGCCTGTTACCTGCCGCACCTGCTCGGCCGGTCCTCGCGGAGCCGGGCTTTGCAGCCAGGGGACACGGAGGCCGGTGGGACGGGCAGGCCTCCCGCCCACGGGGAGTGCGTGCTCCGTGTGGGTTATGACGGCAGCAGCTGTTTCATTGCTTTTTAAACATTTACACGCGATGTCACAGTGGGAATGTCTTCTTAGAAGCCGCGCCTCCTGGCCTCTCTGAGGGGCTGGCCCCCTCCCACCCAGCCAGAGGGGATGATCAGGCTGGGGTGCAGGCCACACTGGAAGGACATCGCCTCCTTGGTTCCATCACCTCCTTGGGCCCTGGCCGTGAGCCAGGCCGGTCCTTCCGTGACCTTGCGCTTCTGCAGGGAGATGCCCGGTGCTGGCTGCCAGGGAGTGGGGCCAAATCGTTCATTTCCTCTTACTAATTGGCTTGGTGATAAGGGGAGGGGGGGAGTTTATTTCTACATTTAGATTCACATGTGGCCCTTATTTCTATAATTGGTTGAAGGGAGAGGGTTTGAAAATGTTGGAACTGAGAGTGAAACCAAAAAGAAGTAAATTAGGTCCGCAGGACGGGGTGGCTCTTCGGCCAGAAGTTCTCGTCCATCTCTGCGTGAGAAATCAGGAGGGAAGACGCAGGCGGTGCGTCCCTGGGCTGAATGGCCGGTGAGTGAAAGAGTAGCCGCCGCCGACCAGCAGTTCATCCGATGCCTCCGGGGAAGGGCCTGTTCCTGTTCTTTCCGACGCCCCTCACCTCTGCCTCTGAGACGCTGACGGGTTTGCCCCTAATTCGGCGGCAGTTCCCGCCGGGAGCCGAGACCCGTGACCCGCGGCTGGCGGTGCCGGCCTCTGACCTAGGTCACCGGTGGGCACGGGGAGGGGTGTCCTGCCCTGTCTGCGAGGAGGTTGCCGGCTCCGGGTTCTCGTTCTAATTCTGCGCGTAGACTTCGCTGCTCACAGACCCCCCCCCCCCCCCCGGGGGGTTCGCACGGCACGTTTCATGGCGACAGGTTGGCGGGGAAGGAGCGCGGGACTTGGTTTTGACCCCAACGCCTTGGGCCTCTGGACCTGGGCCGCGGCGTTCCTCATCGGCTTATGTAACCGGCGCTGAGCCCTGGGCCTGGTTAAACAATCATCGGTTTACAAGGACGACTCGGAATGAGAGGAATGAGGCTGACCGACGGGCCTTCGCTCCCTGCAGCCCGGACAGCGAGGATGGGCGGGAGTCCCAGGCCCAGGCTCTCGCTCCGTGCTCAGCGGGTGGCGGGTGGCGGGTGGGGGTGGCGAGCAGAGTGGACCAGGATCCCACAACAGCGACACGGCCTTTGGGGGACAGGAGGCTGCACCTGACCCCCAGCTCTGCCGCTCACCGGCTGTGGGGCCTCAGGCGAGTTGCTTCACCTCTCGGTGAAATGGGGGGAGATGTCCTACCGCGAGGGCGTGAGCACTCCATGACGGGAGCCACATAATGACGGGCGATGGCGATTGGTCCCTGTGGTCGCACATACCAACAGCCAGCGGCCTGAGACGCTGGGCGCACCGCGACAGGGCAGGCAGTTCGCACACTGGACAGTGAGGTCCTCCCCCGCCCTCCTGGAGCCCGTCTGGTTGGGTGGGGACAACCCTCAGTGACGAGGCCGTGCTGACAGGGCACCTGCTCCGGCCTGGCTGCCAGCTGCGCCCTTTCCAGGCCTCGCCTCCCGTGAGCTCTCAGCCAGGGGAGAGGGGAGAGGTGATGTGCTCACAGGGGTGGCGAGCGGGCTCTGTGGGGTGAAGGCAATGACCCACAGTCACCTGTCAGTGAGGGGCCAGGCGGGGATTTGATCCCACGTTGGTCCAGCCGGGAAGCCAAGGTTTTCACGGCTGCCGCTGGCTGGGTCCCCGGAGGCAGACCTGAGGCCACGTGTGTGCAGGAGGGCGATAGGGTGCATGTGGGACAACCCCCGAGGGCCTGGCCTGGAGGGGAGACACGGGCTCAGGCTGCCCCTGCTGTCACGTGGTCCATGGACCTGCCTCTGGGCAGGTAGTGAGAGCCACACCCTCAGGTCCTAAGGTGAGGCAGCGTGGCCGTGGGTGTCTGTGCAGGTGATGCAGTGTGACCGTGGGTGTCTGTGCAGGTGAGACAGCGTGGCCGTGGGTGTCTGTGCAGGTGAGGCAGTGTGACCGTGGGTGTCTGTCTAGCTTCTACCTGGAGGGCCTTCCAGCTCACTGTGGCTGTTGCTCTGTCCCCATGGGGAGAGACTTGGTCCTTCCAGAAGCAGCAGGTCAGGGAGCCCCCCCCCCGCCCGCCAGTGCACACATGCAACCCCACTGCCCCCCAGGAGTGCGGGGTCCTGGGACCCGCCGGGCTCGGGAATGGAGCTGAGGAGCGCTGCCCAGGAGAGGCCGTGGTCACACCCCTCAGCCGCCCCAGCCGCCTCTAAAATAACCACAGCACAGAAGGCCGGAATGTGTTGGGCTTATATTTGGAATCGCTGTTGGAAACAGGCCCGGCCAAATGTAACCCCATCTGTTTGGGATGGTTTAAGAGCAAGAGAATGAGGCGGCTTTGCAGGAGGGGGCTTGCACCCCACACTCGGGGCTGCCTGGGTGTCGGGTCCCGGGCCCTCGCTCTGCCCGGGACCTCGTCCCCTGCAGCCTTGGGCTCCTACTGCCTGGCCGCTGACGCCATGCGGGACTGCCCAGCCAAGACATCTGCCCTTGAATCAAGCCTGCCTTTTTTCCTGAACCTTCCATGGACTGGTCAGTCCTTTAGGAACCTGGGCGGATCTCTCAGCCCAGGGCAGCTTTCCTGCCTCGGAAGCAGGTGCCTTCCTGCCGGCTCCCTTCTCTGGCTGCAGCAGCTCAGCCAAGGGTCCCTAGGGGTCCTGGCCTGCCGGGGTGGAGCCGAGGGACACCCTCCCGCATTCTCAGTGCCTTACCTCTATTAATGCATCCCCAGGTTGCATCGTGTGCCTGCAGCTCTGTGATGATTTGTTATGAGTTTATGTCGACTAAACGTCTCCTTTGTTTTCCCTACTTCATCCTGTAGAGTTGATTTTAAAGACGAAAATGACGTTCAGGGTCTCCTTACGTCGGGTCTTTTTATGGGTGTGCCTGCTCCAGTCTGTGAGGCCCATTTGGATACTTCTTCTTTTTAATGTGTTTTTTTTTTTTTTAAATTGATGTCAGAGAGGAAGGGCGAGGGAGAGAGAGAGAGAAACCTCCATGATGAGAGAGAATCATGGACCGGCTGCCTCCTGCACGCCCCACACTGGGGATCAAGCCCACAACCTGGGCCTGTGCCCTGACTGGGAATCGAACCCTGACCTCCTGGTTCATGGATTGACACTCAGCACTGGCTGGGCTGGGTACTTGATCTCGATACGTTTGCTGTCCTCAATGTTTTCTGAGTCGTTTTAACCCAGCAAGTGGCTTTCCCTCCTGCAAGGTGGTCACCTGACTGTTTCCCTGGAGGTAGTTGTGGGGAAGTCCTGGCACCGCTTACTGCAGGCATTCCTATGCAGCGTCCACCTACTTCTCGTGGGGGGGGGGGGGAGGAGGGGGCGAGGGAGGGGTGAGGGGGCGGACGGGCGTGGGGACCCTGACATGCTCCCTGAAAGCAGGAGCCCGCCCTTCCCCTTTTCCCTCCTCGGGTGGAGGGAGGTGCAGCCCTGGGGGGTGGGGAGAGGGGACACACAAAGGGAAGTAGGACTCAGCCCGCATAGCTTAGTGGCTGAGCATCAACCTATGAACCAGAGGGTCAGGTTTCAATTCCTGGTCAGGGCTCAGGCCCAGGTTGCAGGCTTGATCCCCAGTGGGGGGTTGTAAGAGGCAGCCGATCCATGATTCTCTCTCATCATTGACATTTCTATCTCTCTCCCTCTCCCTTTCTCTCTGACATCAATAAAAACATATTTCTTTAAAAAGGGGAGTAGGCAAATGGCTCACCGGCAGGAACAAAGAGAAACGGTCGAGCTTTAAGGAATGAAACTCCACACGGTCATTGCACGCTGGTTTCACGGTCACCCAGAGGGCGACCCCCTGCTCTGGGGGGTGACACGCTGTCGACTTTGCTTCCAGGCTGTACTCGGACTACCTGTACTTCGCCAGCTCCAACAAGTCCGCGGAGGACTTCCACGAGAAGGTGACGGAGGCGCTGCAGCTGTTCGAGAGCTGCCTGCTGGACTACTCGCTGCGCGCCTGCGTCTACAACAACAGCCTCAACAACGCCATGCCGGTGCGTGCGACCCAGCCCGGCCCAGGGCCCTGCTGCTGCTGCTGCAGGCGGTGTCGGGGGGTTTCAGCATACACACGGGCGGGGGGCAGGGTTTGTGTGTGTGTTTTTAATTGATTTCAGAGGGGAAGGGAGAGGGAGAGATGGATACCGCTTTTCCAGGCTGCTGTAAGGCTTAGAGTGGTAGTTCATCCATTGGCTGGGGCCGTCACGTAGACTGATGAAAGGCCGATTCGTGCGAGAAAATGAAACAAGTTGGTGGACACGTTTGTTGCACACCCACATGGGAGCGCCCAGTGGCGAGTAACTCAAAGAGGTGGTTATAACTCTGGCTTATAAAGCCTCTTAACAAAAGAGCAGTGCATTGGCCACAGGACAGAGCAAGCTGGGTGTGCCTGTCGTCTGTCGTTATTTTATTTTGAATTTTTATTTACTGATTTGAGAGAGAGAGAGAAACATCGATTTGTTGTTCCACTTTTTAATGCATTCATTAGGTGCTTCTTGTATGCACCCTGACCGGGGATCGAACCTGCACCCTTGGTGTACGGGGATGACCCTCTAATCACTGGGCTGCCTGCCCGGCCAGGGCTGGCCTGTCTTTAATGCCCCCTGGAGGCAGGTTGCCCGCAGCCACTTCCTCCCACGGCGAGGCCAGGGCGTGCCCTCCCTCCAGCTTCCAGCTTCCCCGTTGGCCCTGCAGCTGTGAAGGAAAACATGCGGAGGCTGGGGGACAAGGTCACAGGGACAAGGTCACGGGCGTGGTCGCCAGGCTCAGCGTTTGTGCAGCTGGTTTTTCAGATCAAACGTTTTGAAATTCCCCGTCCCTGGGAGGGGACGGGATTCGGGCTCGTTCATTACCGGACCGGCACCTTCCTGGTTCCTCCAGGGCACCCCCTTGCTCAGTCCTCCAGGGGCCCTGAGACCCAGCCTGCTGTACGGGGAGGCACAGAGGCTCCCGAGGGTCCCGGGCACCCCAGCCGTGTGGCTGGTCCCGGGCAGGCTCAGGCTGCAGCCCAGGCCCACGGCTTTGGACCTCAGGGGCTCCCACCTTCCCTGGGGCTCCTGAGGGCAGAGACCCGAGTCAGCAGGAGGCAGCCGCTTCTTATTGTTTTAAATGTGTTTTTGTTGATTTTAGAGAGAGGGGAAAGGAGAGGGAGAGAGAGATACTGAGCAGTTGCCTCCCATGCGCACCCCAACCAGAGCTGGAACCCGCACCCTGCGTGTGCCCCGACCAGGGCGTGGCCGTGCCGTGGAGCCGCCACAGGGTCCTCACGAGGATGAAGCGCCCCTCTAAGTGGGAGTCTTGCAAGAATGTGTGGTGTGCCCGGCGGGTGTGACTCCATGGTTGAGCGTCGACCTATGAGTCAGGTCACGGGTTCGATTTCTGGTCGGAGCACAGGCCTGGGTTGTGGGCTCGATCCCCACTAGAGGGCGTGCAGGAGGCAGCTGATCTGAAATAACAATATATCTAAAAAAAAGAAAAAGAATATACTATATACATCTAGAAAAACGAACGCGCGGCATTTAAACCCAGCGTCCGAGGTCGCTTGCGCGCCAGGCCCTCTTGGGGCTTGGCCCCCGAGGTCGCACCCTCCCCCCCCCCCCCCCCCCCGGGTGGTGCCGGCTGGGAGCTGCCCTGGAACAGGCCTTCCTCCCGCCCAGGTGCGCCTGCAGGTGGGGCTGTACGCCGTGTACCTCCTGGACTGGCTCGCCGTCTTCCACAGAGAGCAGCTCCTCGTCCTGCGCCTGGAGGACCACGCGTCCGATGTCAAGTCCACCATGCGGAGGGTCTTCCAGTTCCTCAGCCTCGGTACGGAGGTCAAAGGTCGCTGGAGCCAGGCAGGGATGGGCAGGGATGGGCAGGGCTGGGCTGAGCTGGGCGGCCATTCGGCACCAGCTGTGGGTGGTGTGGGGAGAGGTCCCGGGGAGGGACGGGGCGTCCCCTGGAGGGAGAGAGCTGCGCCCTGTTCCTGGTGGAATGGCGGGAGTGTGGGTGTCCCAGCAGGTGCACGGGTGGGTGACGGGGGTCCCGCTGCTGAAGGGCGCGGGGAAGGCCCCTGTCTCAGCAGGAAGCGGGAGGCGGGGGGAGGCCTGCCCCGCCTGGCGCCCCTGCTGCCCCTCAGCCTCTGTTCCCGCGCTCCAGGGCCGCTGAGCGAGAAGCAGGAGGCCCTGATGACCAGGAGCCCCGCCTCCAACGCCCGGCGCCCCGAGGACCGCAGCCTGGGGCCCATGTGGCCGCTCACCCAGCGGCTCCTGCGGGACTTCTACGGGCCCTTCAACGCCCGGCTGGCCCAGGTCCTCGCCGACGAGGCGTTCGCCTGGAGGAAGACGTGAGGCCGGGGCGCCCGGGTGCAGGCTCAGCGTCACGGTGATTGCAGACATCTCCCTCCGCGGGCCGTGGGCTCAGCGTGAGCAACCCCGACGTCCGAGGCTCCTGCTCCCGGGCACGGGTCCGCCGGGACCTTCCGGAGGCCTTTGCGAGGTCACAGCCCCGCCATCGGCCCCTCACGAGGCCCCAGCTCAGTTCACAGGCGACAAGACACCCCGTCCTGATTCAGAAACTCGGGGGTGAGCCCACGGGCCGAGCGTGGGGCGCTGGGATCCCCAGGAGAACCTGCGGGGCCACCGCAGCCTGCTGTGCCCGTGGACGGGCTAAAGGCCTCGTTGTTTCTCAGAGGCGATGGGGAAGGATTGAGGGGAGCCCTGAGCCCACTGCGCACCTGCCCGGGGGACCCAGCGAGGCTTCACACTCACTCGAGTGCTGTCGGAGGCTCCCTGTGGCCCAGACCAGGGCTCTCTGAGGTCCTGACGCCAAGGCGAGTGCGTCAGCAACCCCATCCCCACCGAAAGTCAACACCTCCACACCCCCGTCACTCCGCGTGCGGACGAGCTCAGCCTCCAGCCCGGCGCCCCGTCTTCCTGCCGTGGGGGCGCAGCCCGTGGAAGGCGAGCAGGGGCTCAGAGACCTGCGGCCTGGCTGTTCCTGACCGGAGGGTCTGTGTGTCCTGACCTGGCTTCCAGGGACAGTCCCCGCCCCTCTCGCAGCCGGCAGGGCGCAGAGCAGCAGCCGCGGGAGGTCTGGCCCCAGGACGGCAGTGTGTGAGTGTGTATTTATTTGCAGCACACGTGTGCGCGCGCGTGTGTGCGTGTGTGCACAGGTGCATGTTATGAGTGGGTTCCCTCCGGTTCTGTGGCTGACGTGGCTCCCGGCTCCCCACTCTGGACACAGCGCTCCTTGGACTCGGGTCTCTGCCCGCGAACTTTCCACGTTCACTGGGATTTGCTCCCAGCGCAGCCGCCACCACGGCCTTCTCACGCCTCCTCTGCACGTGACCGCGTGCAGCCCACCTGCTTCTCACAGAAGCACCCGGCGGTGTTGTTCCCGATGCCGCCGGCTTATTGTACAGATCGTTTTCTAGGCCAGCCGTCCGTCCGTCCGGGCCCGCGGTGCCCGCAGACGCGGTGTCTGCAGGGCCTCCCCGAGGGCACTGCCTGTGCTCTGCTGCGAGGCCTGTTGGTGCCGTTCTGCGTGGTGGCCCTGGAGCCCTCCCCCAAACCAAAGTGGAACGGGGCGTGCCCCCGCCTGTGCCCTGCAGAGCCGCATGCAGGCCCCGCGCCCCGTCCTCGCTGCGCCCCCTGAGCTGCCGAGGGAACCACGTGATGCTGTACTTTCTGCCGAATTAAACGTGGGCCCGACGGGGACGGAGCGCAGGCGCTTCCTTGCTGTGCTGAGCCCTCGGGGTCCTCTGGGGTTCGCTGTGTGTGACTGAGTCGCTGGGGAGGTCAGAGGTCAGCCTCCCCTCCTGCTCCCTAGGGCGACTGCGGAGGGAGGCAGGATCCCAGCGAAGGGTCCGGTGTGACCGGGGCTCTGCGGGCCTGTGGGGGTGAGCCGAGGGTGAGGCCCTGCCCCGACCCCAGACGGGCCCAGTGCTGGGCTCAGACGTCTGGGTTCAAAGGTTGAATGGCCACAGGCCCTGCCACTCCCCACAGGCTGCTCCCCGTCCCCGCCACCTGCCTGGCTCAGGGGCTGCGAGTCGGAGACGCCTGTGTCCCTGTGGACACTCATGTCCTGGGGTTTGTCTCAAGTGTGGGGTTTGGAAGGCCAGGCCATCGGGGGGCGGCGGGGACTCTGGTTGGTCCCCCAGTTCTGGGGAGACCACATTGGGAGAGCCTCTCTCGCCAGCGCTGCCCCCACGGGGTGTGTTGGGGGGAGGGGGGCTGGTGAGTCCAGACCTGGAAGTGAGGGGACCCATCTCTTGACAACAGAGGCAGGAGCGTCTTTGCCCAGCAGCGGACGTGTCTAAGCAGAAAGGGGGTGGTGGTGGGGGATGGGGACAGACAGGCGGGCGGGTCTGAGGGCTGATTGGCGACTCCCTTTCCCTCTGTGAGTGGCCCCCACTCAGGAACCAGCTCTCGGAACACCCTGCTGCGGCTCATGCATCTTCATGTCACTCTCCCCGGAATGGCCTCCCAGATGACCCCGCGGGGACCCGAGGCAAAGGCCGCTCCTGGAGACACCTCGGGCCTCATCGCGCAGGGACAGAGGCTCCGTGGGCGGCGTGTGTGGGTGGGAGAGCCTGGTCTTCCCAGAACCTCGCCCACAGGGCTCCCTGGGGGGCAGCAGGGACGGGGGGTCTTGGGAGGAGGGACAGTGGGTCCTGGGAGGAGGGACAGTGGGTCCTGGGAGGAGGGACAGCCATCGGCCTGAGGAGCTGCCTTAGTGTCCTGTGGCTGCTGTAACAAGTCACCCCAGACCGAGGGGCTTAAAACAAGGGTGTTATCTCCTAGTCCCTGGGGTCAGAGCCCGGCGTCAGCCTCGCGTGGGCACCGTCTTCACATCGCCCTCCGCCCCTCGCCCCTGCCCCTTAGGGACCCTTGGCTGCTCTGGGCCCGCAGCCTCGCAGGCCCCTCTCTGTCCCCAGGACGCAGCTCGAAGCGCCTTGGCCAAGTGAGGGACAGGCCAGGCCAGGGCCGCTGTTCAGCCAGTCGCAGCAGGGCGGTCAGTGAGCTGGCCGGACGGTCCAGGGAAGGAGTGGGTGGCCTGGCCTGTCCCTGTGGCTGTGCCCTGTGGGGCCCACCAGGGCTGAGTGGGCAGGCAGCCTCGGACACGCCCGCTCTGAGATGGAGCGCCTTCCTGGTCCCGCCACTGGAGAGTGGGGGTGAGGGGAGCGGGAAAGGCCCGCCGGCCTCTGGAATTCATTCTGCACATTTCTCCTGAGTGAGCCCAGTGCTCCCCCCCCCTCCCCGCACCCCCTCCTGGGCTGTGACTGCAGCTCCAGGCAGCAGCGCTTTGCAGGGCCGGCCTTCGCTGCTGCTGGTGTGTGTGTGTGTGTGTGTGTGTATGTGTGTGTCAGGGCGTCCTCAGCCGCCGGACCTGCCTCAGCCACACGGCCGTGCCAGGGCTGGACAGGGCCGTGCCAGGTCTGAGGGCCAGTGGCCTGTGAGTCAGTCATGCTCCCAAGGAAGCAGCTTGCGAAAGCCACACAACCAGAATGTTCCCTGGCCCCCGAGAGCTCAGGGCGGTGGCTGGGGAAGGCTGACCCCCGACCTCACGTCCACGGGTCCTGACGGTCCCAGGCTGGGCTCAGCCGCGGGGCTCTGCTCTGTCCCTGTCGCAGCTCCCCCCCCCCAACCTCCCCCCTGCTCCCCCCTATGGCCCTCCTTGCACATCACGTGGCCAGCTCGGCCGTCTCCCCAGTGGAGGTGCCTGTGCCGGGCTCGGTCTCACCCAGGTTGCCAGGGGACCCAGGCCAGCTGGGAAGTGTGGAGTCGGCATGTGCGGTTTCAGCAGCACTTTGTGCACCTGCACTTTGCACGAGGCCCTGGGCTGGGCACGGGGGTGGGGATGGGGGTGGGGGTGGGTGCTGCTCCGTCTCTGATCCAGGCTGGCTCCTGCACCAGGTGTCTGTGGGGAGGCCGTGGGGGGTTGCGGGCCCACGTTCTCAGCAGCTGCGATTACAGAGCCAACGGGGCAAGTGGGGAGAGCGGGGAGGCCCTGCCTCACCCCTCGTGCATCCTCGACTTTTTGTCTTTACTTAGCAGCGGTTCTCAACCTTCCTGACGCCGCGGCCCTTTAATACAGCGCCTCATGTGGTGGCGACCCCCACCCATAACATTATTTCGTTGCTACTTCATCACTGTCATGTTGCTACTGTTATGCATCGTCATGTAAATACCTGATATGCAGGATGCATTGCCATTGTTCGCGACCCACAGGTTGAGAACCGCTGAAGAGCACTTAAGGTCCAATTACGCATCTGTCTGTTGGAAGGGCCAGTCCTTTCTCTGAGCGTGATCTGCAGGGGGGATTCTGGGTAACCTCCAGGCCATCTGCGGGTCACCTCGGGGTCATCTCCGGGCCCAACCGCACTGGGATGGTCAGCGCTGGCTGCGGCTTTAGCTCCCTGAAGGGCAGGAGGCCGCAGAGCCCTCCGGGCAGAGCGTGGCATCCGGGGCCGAGCCCCCGGTGGTCTCCTTCCTGTGCTGGGCTCCAAGAATCTCCGCCTGCTTCGCAGAGAGGCGCTCGCCAAGGCGGGTCGGGGGTGCTGGGGACCCCTGAGGTCTTCGAGGAGATGAACCAAGACGCCCCCACCCTCTGCACACCCCCCCTCGCGCATGTGCGGGGACCGGTCCCAGCGACCCCGCCGCTCCCACGGCCGTGGGCGGCGTGCTGTGCGAGCGCGTCTCCCGCCTGCAGTCTCCCACGCGGGACCTGCCGGATGTCGGCCTGAAGGGAGCTCTGTGCGCCTCGGTGCTGGCTCAGCGTGTGATGGGGTCACAGTGCAGGTCCCTGTCAGACACGCTGGCGGGAGGACGACGCGGGGACCATGACAACGGGTTCATTGTGAATGCAAAGCCGACCGAGGGCCTTCCGCGGGGCAGCCGCGAGCACGCCCTGGACATCGGCCCGGACATGGGACAGGAGGCCTGCGGTGGCAGCGGTGCCGGTCGGTCGCTGAGCAGCTGCCGAGAGCCAGGCCCCGGGCAGCGGGCCCTCCTCCTCCGGCTTCCACCCCATCTCAGGAAGGGGTTCTGTCTGTCCTGGTTTTACCCTTATCCAGGTGGGCAAACTGAGGCTCGGGGGGCCAAATAAAGGGCCCCCGCCCCCCAGCTGCGAAAGACCAGAGCTGGTCCTGATCCCTTCTCACCTCCGACCTCGGAGTCCTGAAGCCTGAGCTTCCAGGAGGCGGGGGAGCGGAGGGGTGGGGGGGTGTCGGGGGGGAGGAAGAGCCTCAGGCAGAGCTGGTGGGCGGGCAGGAGGCCGGCCGGATGCTGGGGCAGAGGTCAGGGCCAGGCGGCATCTTCCAGGCCTTTCCTGGTCGAAGCAGCGAAGCTGACCTAGCGGCCCCTACATCCCCTGCGTCCTGTTGGGCGCCCAGCGTTGCGAGGGCTGCTGGGGCCCAGCCCCACTGCTGCCTCCGCCGCCGCCTCACTGCCTCCACCCTGCATCCCTGGTGGGCAGGGAGTGCAGCCGATGGGGCCGCTGCCCTCGGCAGGAGCCCTGACCTTAGGAGGCTGAGCAGGTGGCCCTGGGCTCCATGGGCCCCCCCTCACCACCGAGGCTTCCAGCAGCTGGTTCTGGGGTTCATAAGGGGCCCCCGTGGCCAGCAGCTCTGTGGCACTGCAGGTCCGAGTCACGGCCGAGGAATGAGGAGTGGCTGCCTGCCTCCTCCGGGCTGGCCTCCAGATCTCAGGGGGGCAAACCCGAGCCCCACCGTTGCCACGGAGACCACTTGTTTACTCCCACCTCCACATGAGCTCATCTGGAGAACTGCCATTTTCTGCTCTTTCACCGTAATGGAATTCAGGAACATTCCAGAGCCAAGGCGGCCCCTGTTTCCAAAGGCGGCCTGCGGGGAGCTCAGGGTGCGGGCGGGCGTCTGTGTCTGGCCTCGAATTTCCTGCGTCCCTCAGAGAGCACCTCTGCTCTGCAGTTCCGGCCTCCCTGCCTTCTCCCAGGCCACCACTCCACCTGGAGTCCCACCTTTCCCACCACCCAACGGGACAGCTTCTTACTCCACCCAAGGCCAGGGTCAAGCGCTGCCTCCTCCAGGATGGCCTCCTGGACCCCACCCTCCAATCCCCTCCTGATCAACACAAGATCTCTCCCCCTTCTTAGTCCCTCTCCACCTAGTGTGGCATTGGTTCCTCTGCCTGACCCTGTACTCGGTCAGGGGTGTGTTTCCATCTCCCACCAAGACAGCAAATTCTGGAGATGCTACCCCCAGGCACCCAGGTCACCAGTGGTCGTTGGCACCAATTCCACGCCGACAGGAAGCCCCAGTGTGGAGTGCACCCTGTGGGGAGTGGTGACGAAGGAAACTTGATTCAGTGCAGACAGCTCAGCTGTGATAATAGTGTCACAGCTCGATGGTGCAGCAGCTCGGCCGTTGCCCTGCCCTGCTGGCGGCTGCGCGGCTCTGCACTGCCCGCTCCATGCTCTGTTCTGAGGCACCGCGAACATTTCACCTTCAGCGGTTCAGCTCCAGCCAAGGAAACAGCGCCCAGTCCCGGGAAGGGGAGGACAGGGCACCAGCCCAGGGCCGGCGGGGAGCTCACTTATGTAGACAGAAGGCCCCACCCCTGGCCCCTGATTGGTCTGTCCTCATGCAAATGAGGACTTCAAATCCTCACAGTTTGATTGGTCCAAAACTCGGGTGGAGGGGGGGCAGATACAGCTGAGTAGCTCCCATTGGATGGGCGTCTCAGTCCTGATGGATGTCAGGCTCCAGGACGCAGGCGGCGGGGATCAG